GAAAAAAAGCATACAGTTTCAGCCAAACATTGTTTATATTCAGGTGTTTTTTCAGAATGACTCTTAATTTATATTTCACTCTCCTGCCTTCATGCTCACTATTTTAATGAACAGGATTTCTGATCTTTTCGACATTTTTCATTAGCCCTGAAGGGATCGTCAAAACACTTTGTGCCTGATTTTCAATATTTTTCTGCTTATTTTACACCCTTCATTTAAAGGTAATGAAAACCAAATAACGTGGGGTCTTGACCTGACTTCATCTTCTCAAATTCCTTAAGTATTTTATATTTATTAGGTGTCTCACTTAAAATTTCATTTTAGTGTCAGACAAATGAGGATTTCAGTGCAGCCACCAAGAGCAACTTCCTGAACTTGAAAATGTTGCTACTGCTGTAGATAGAAATTTGTTGAAATATTCTCTATTGTTGATGGATAGAAGCACAGGGTCCTTGCTCAGTTATTTGGAGAATTTACTCCCTCCTTTTCTTTTTCTTTTTTTAAATTTTTATTCATTTAGCACTGGTTTGCATCCTCTCCATAATAGAAGGGTAGGATTTCCCCTTCAGGCATTGTTGCCACAGGGCACTCACCACCAAAAAGCAGATCATCCAAGGTTTAATCAGAACAAAGTCGAGCTGGTGATACAGAGTAATAATAGATCCCAGATTAGTACCTCAAGCTCTCCTGAGAAGTCATCTTTAATTCCTACCCAGTATTCACATTTGGATATACTGCTTTCCCTAAATTTATTCTTTATTTATTTAAGATTTATTTATTCATGAATACAAGAACCGGGGTATAGACCAGAGGTGCGAGAGGGTGAGAGGAGACAGAGACAGAGAGGGGAGCAGAACAGGCAGACCAACTGAAATACACTGCTGAGGGAAGCAGTGGGCAAGACAGGAGAGGTCTGCCGCACCATGTGGGTATCTCCCTGGCCGGCCGGGATCAAACTTGTGTTGCAAAGGCTGCAGACAGCTCCATAGTGCTATGCTCAACCGCCTGTGCCACCAGGGAGGCCCTCCCCAAATTCATACTCCTGCCTTGATGGATGAATTGAAATAGGCACCAGTGTCTCTGGGCATATTTGTCTTTTCAGGAAACAAAGAGTTTATTTTACCAAAACTAGTCTTTTTCTAAACATTGGTTTACAGCATGACTATAAATGATGCAGAGGTACAGGGTCATACCTCTGCAGATCTATGTCAGGCCCCCCACTGCCCACAAGACACCTGTAGTCCAGTATATCCATTTGGTTTGGTTGGGCCCAACTCTTTCTTTTGTTTCCTTATATTCCACATATGAGTGAAATCATCCAACATTTTCTTTCTCCTCCTGACTTATTTAACTTAGCAAAATCCCCTCCAGTTCCATCCATGTTGTTGCTAATGCAAGGTTCATCTTTTTTTTTTTTTTTTTTTTTTTTTTTTTAATAGCTTCATGCTTTTATCCCATTGTGAATGTGTATACCACATCTCAATCCACTCATCTGGCTTCGGCACTTAGGCTGAAACACTGGGCTTAAGTGCTAACTCTCAACAGCACAGGCCAGAACCAGTTCAGGATCGTCTTGAGACAAATTTTTGGTCTCCCCAAATAACACTGGTAGGAGGTACTGCCCGTGTTAGTGTGATGAGATCCCTCGTGCTGTGAATCTGTGTTGTCATGACTTGACATAACTGAAACAATTTAATTAGGGAGGGGAGGGAGATTTGGGTGAAACATATAATCAGGTTTGTGGTTCGCAAAGTCACTAGCTACAGTATAGAGGCTAGGTTGGAAGTGCCTGCAGAAGCTGTGGAGAGAGCAGTTAAGAGACTGCTGATTCCTGGGGCCTCTCTGGTGGCGCAGGGGATTAAGACGCAACCTATGAGGCTATCCGCAGTCACTGCAGCACGAGTTTGATCCCCGGCCAGGAAAGTGACTCACATACACAGCAGACCTCTCCTGGCTAGCCCGCTGCTCCCCTCAGCAGTGTATTTCGGTCGATCTGCCTGTTCTGCTCCCCACTCTGTCTCTGGTAGATCCTCTCACCCCTCACACCTCCTCTGGCCTGTATCCCAGTTCTTAAATGCATACATAAATAAATCTTAAAAAAAAAAAGAGAGAGACTGCTGTTTCCTTCAGGGGAGAAAGGAGGCTGTGTGGGCTAAGATGGTGATGGGAGAGGAAAAGTGGATGCACATGAGCAGCAATAGGAGGGTTTGATGAGGACTGAGGGAGAGAACAGTATCAAGGTTGAATGGGTTTCCTCAACTCTGAACTCAGTTATGGGATCTAAATAGATGCATGGAATGTTCTCATGGTCTCGTGTGAAATTGTGTAATATATTGGTATTAACTGGAAGCCTGACCTCATGCCGCGTGATTGATATTTGTGTGATATTTGGGGAAAGCCTGCAATATAGCTGTCTCCTTTTCCTGAAGGCTAGTCACAGTTTCAGCAGGCAGGCAAAAATTACAGCATTCCTGTGGTTGCCATATACTCTGTCAAGTTACTGCTGATAAGAGTGTAGGAAACACATTTTGTACTCATTTGCAAGTGTGGCTGGCAGCAGCTGCTGTTCAAATAAGTTAGCTCAGAAGGTAGCTCCCCCAACATACAAATGTTCCTTGCTGCTGAGGACATTGGCCCAGAGGAGGACCAAACGTCTCAAGATGCTTCGTAATTCTGTTCACCAGCAGCCCTCACACAGGAATTTGTTTCTGGGAGAACAGGGCAGGGGGCTGCTCATCAACATTTTTGACCCCCTTTAAAGGTAAACAGTGGCATTTTGGGAACCGTTGGCTTTGTTCAGTGTCACGGAGGCTGTCAACAGTGGACTCCGGGCTGAGGCTCAGAATCTTTGAACTGGTTTCCAAAAACAAAACGAGATCAACAATAACACAGAGAGATCTAAGCTAAGTAGATGTCTGTCATTTGATTGCTCAAGTAGCAGGTTTATCCACCACACGAAATGTCTCCATTCTCTGCCATCATCCCAAACTAGGAATTTAAAGAAGTCGTTACCCTTAAATATGATATAATCCAGGGGTTTCTTCATCTCTCAGGCTTCACTGAGTATCAGCTGTAATCGCTCTGGCAGGTCAGCCAGTCACAGTCTCTTGAACCATTGTCGTTGGTAGATTAATATGTCTTTTATTTGAAGGGGTTAGAAAATGGGGGGTGGTGGTGGTGCGGGAAGGGGGGTGGAGAGAAATATTGAAAAAAATCCATGTTTTTTTTTTTTTTAAGATTTATTTATTTATTTATACAAGCACAGAAGTGCAGGAGGGTGAGAGAATTCACCAGAGCCAGAGCGGGGAACAGAACAGAACAGGGGAGCAGCAGGCGTGGCAGGAGAGGTCTGTGCGCCATGTGGAACCCTTGCTAGCAGCTGGGGATCGAACCGGTGCTTCAGAGGCTGCGGGCAGCTTCACAGCCCAGTGCTCAACTGCTGTGCCACCAGGGGAGGCCCTCCATGTGGTTTTTAATGACTGGTGATACTAAAAAGAAACTGTCATCTGTATGACTTTTGGCCCCCTTAATAGAAATACTGAACTAAATGATCATACTACTTTCAGGGCCTCAGTGTAACCAGTGAGGTGCTCTGTAAGACATACTCTCCAGGTCTGTTTGGAAAGGCCGATGAACAAGGCATGATTTCCCAGGGTGCCTTGAAAAACCCCTCTACAACCCACTGGGGTCCCACCACTGATTTTATTTGAAAAGATCCAGCCTTATGGTGGTCCTTCTGAAAACTGCCTCCCCCCTCCCTCCACCAGCATCCTAGATGCCCAAAGGACTGGGGATGACCTTCAGGAATTGCAGACCATAAGTGACCCCCTGACCTACCATTCTTCTAGATACTGCATCCCCCCCACAGGCTGCCCTGGCTTCTGGAAGCAGGATCTGTTGCCTCTGATTGTATCAGGTCAGCTAGTTATTTTGCATAACATTTTTGCTTATTGCCCAAGTTGTGGATTTCATGTCCTGAAATGCTGTCTTGAAATAGGAGCTGCTTGCAAAGACCTGAGGCCATCCTTATGAGACTACCCTGAGTTAGGACACTTAAAATCCAGAGGAAATGGTTATTGATTTCCTCCCCTTTTTTGAGGGTCTCCTCCTGTGTTGACTCCTCTCCTAATACCTCAGGTCTTGACAGCTAATGTCCTACATCTTCTGAGAGGTGAGAGACCATTTATTTCATCTGAATTAGAGTCTGCTCTGCCAGTTCTTTTTTTTTAAGATTTATTTGTTAATGCATACAAGAGCTAGGGTACAAGCCAGAGATGCGGGGAGTGAGAGGACTCACCAGAGACAGAGTGGGGAACAGAACAGGCAGATTGACTGAAATACATGTTGAGGGGAGCAGCGGGTGATAAAGGAGAGGTCTGCCTTGCTGTGTGGGTTTCTCCCTGGCCAGCTGGGTATCAAACTCGTGCTGCAGAGGCTGTGGATTCCTACATAGTGTGGTGCTTAACCCCTTGCGCCACCAGGGAGGCCTGCTGTTCTACCAGTTCTTTATGGCACCCTAGCTCTCCAGCTGCCCCCTGCTAGGTGTCACCCAGTTGGTGGAAGAGCGAGTTCCTGCCTCCCCCGATACCTCTGAGCAGTTCTGTGTCTGAGACTAGGGGCCTCTTCTGTGGACGTTCCAACCTCGTCCGTGTGGCCTCTCTCTTCAGCTTGCTTTTGTTTATCCAGCAGCTCATTACTTTAGAGTAGCCTGTCAAAATTGGTTAAATATTCTTTGGGAAACATGGTCACTCACATCCTTGAGATACCACAAGTATGTTTAATCCAGGGAAGATTGGCTTGATAAGAAAAAACGTGATCAACTTGCATCACCAAAACATATTTTCCTGTTATTCCAGTTGCGTTTCCACAAGCATCAGTAAGCACCAGCAAACCTCAGGCCATAAATTTCTGCCGCCGACACATAAAGACACCGAGGGAAGCAGGGAAAATGATTGCTGATGATTCGTTCTAACTACTTGACCTTCTGACCTCTTCTCTAGATTTATGACCAAGATGGGACCTTACAGCACTTTATTGATGGTGGGGAACCTAGTAAGTCGAGCTGGATGAGGTATATCCGGTGTGCAAGGCACTGCGGAGAACAGAATCTAACAGTAGTTCAGTACAGGTAAAGTATATCTTGATTTACCACTTATGGAGCTGAAGCCCTTTGGCTTGCGTATGCAAATCCAGGCTTGCTGCTAGGTTGGAAAAAATCCTGCACAACTTTGCAAGGACTGGCAGAGTTTCTTTTCTTTTCTTTTTCTTCTTCTTTTTTTTTTTTTTGCTAGGTTTCAAAAAACTCCTTAGTTCTTGCAACTGTGATTTTATGAGAATTCAGGATTCAGAACGCTCATAGAAGCATTTCACTAAGTGCCCGTGGTGAAGTGAAGTGACACCCACCTCATTGCCTGAACTTCCAAAACGACCTGAAAGCTCCTGGCAAGCCCAGGGAGAGGGGTGATTCCTGGGGCAGTCCTGTGCATACGCATAAGTAGGAATTCGGAGATTCAGCTCTGGCTCCCTGAGCCTGCAGTCACCTCGGGCTAGCTCCCCGGGGAAGGGTTCCATTTGCACACAGGCACCGGAAGCCAAGAACTGGCAACCTTCCCCAAGCTGTTGTGTTCCTCAGCAGTGAGGGAGCCAGCGTCACCTCTCTTGATCTTTCGAGAGGTGCCAAAGCGCTTGGCTCTGGCTTTGGGTCAAACGAGAACGTTTCAGATGATGAGGTGGTTCCAGAGCACAGAGGAGCCCCGGTTTCCCGACATATTTGGTAACACCCAAAGGCTAAGAAAGCTAACCCCCAGGACCTGGAGTCCTCTTGGGCGGCCTCTGAGGAGCTGAAAACGAGGTGGCTCTCGGACTGAGCCATATCTGCCCGTGCACCTGTTGGCCGAGCTTTTCCATTTTGGGCTAAAGAAGGCTGCAGTTGAGACGAGAGGGCAAGAGCAAATCACGTAGGAAAAACGCCCCACCACCGAGCCTTCTTTTCTCAGAATCCCTCGAAAACATGTGCCATATAAATATATGACCTCAGTTATAAACAGCCATGTTCCCTTTCGAATCAGAAGCAACTGTTTAGCTTTATTAGGCTCCCCAGACACATCAAAGCCTTGTGCTCAGCCCCTTGGAGTCCTGCCTGTGGCTATTTATTTTCCCTTTTTTTTTTTTTTTTTTTGTTTTTAAAAATGAAGCCTTAAAAAAGAAAAAACAACTGAAGCTTTATTCCCCTAAGAGGTTAAGGGCTGCGCAAATCTGGCTGCCTCTCCAAAGATCTCCAATTCAAAAGGAGCGCGTTGGGCCGCTGGTGACTCACTGCCTTGGTTTCCTCTGCAGTTTCATTTCATTAAGTAACGGTTTAAATGAAATCGTGCACAAACGGCGCTGGGGGAGTCGGCCGCGGACAGACTTCGCTCACCTTTATTGCGGCTGCAGGCCTTCCATGAGGTTTTCATGAAACGCCGAGCTAGAAAATTAGTAAAGATGGTGCCAGCCCATTCAGCAAGAGCCAGCTGGGCAGGTTCTGTCAAGAGTCCCCAGGGAACTCCTGAGGCAAATTCTGAATTTGGGCAAAAGGAGACTCACCCCTGGGCGGAAGGTAGGCGGGAGCAAATCACTACCTATCTGTCAATATTAAGTGGATTTTATAGCTCCCCCTTTCATGATGGCTTTTAAACCTCAAGTTCTCTCTGCGATCTGCTTTTGATTACTTCAGATCTTTATAAAACGAACTCCAAAAACACAATTTAAAAAAAAAAACCTGGCATCCATCACCAGCGACCACGTCCAAGAGGAAGAAAATAGAAAAGTTGGACCCCGAAGAGCCAGCCTAATTTTTATTGTACATGAATGTCCTCTTCACAAAAAGTCAGCTGGTTTAGATTCATTCTGTTATGATTTGTAATATCTAAATGGAATTTTCTTCAAAGCGCCCTTGATTGATTGACCCTTAGCTGAACGTTTTGTTTTTATTTTGAGGCTGACAATAATGCTTGTTGGCATGTGCTCAGCTTCAACGGCGTGGGGACGCCACGAAGCTATCTTTATGAGTCATCCAACCACAATACTCAATACATGTCAGCAAAGGAAATATTATCTGAAAAGGGAAAAATCCCTTTGATGTGCTTCAACATGCAGAGATTTCTGCGAGTTTTGGAAGCTCTGCCCGCTTGTAAGGAACGGTGTACGCTTACACATTTTTCTTCCCCCTTTCGGCCTGCTCCGGGCCTCCGAAGACCACCCATTGCTCGAAAACAGTTCTGCTCTTTCAGCGGCAAAGCGTGTCATTTGGGTTTAGCACATTCATTTGCCGGGCGCTGTGTTTATATTAAGGGAAGCCAAACCGAGAGATGAAATGTTACAAGGGTGAAGTACAAAGTAGACTCAATTTTTCTCAACTTAGGAGATGCCAGTGATTTATAGCTCGGCTCCAATTTTGATTTTTTTATGTAGCAGTGGAAAGAATTAATAAAATGCACAGCTCTCAGAGATGTGGAGGGAGGCAGGGTGGTGAGGTCCGGACAACTGGCTGGAGTTTTTGTCAGATATTCATAGAATGTTGGGAAAAACATTGTGCTTAGCTAGCAGTGCCCTCGTGAGACAGAATGGCAGCAAGTTAAGGAAAATAACAAGATAAATGAAATTTTTGCAGCTGCAAGTAAAATATTGAGAATCTGCACTTTTTTATTGATCTTTATGATCCTATTGCCAAGAGCCACTTTGTGGTGACAAAATATGTTGACAAGTGCATATCTCACCACCATGAAAAATGTGGTGAAGGATTCGCCTTATGTCTGCAGTGTTATACAAGGAACAAATTGCCCTGCTACAGCCAATTCCTCACAGAAAGGCTACATTTAAGGCCCACCAACCCTAAACACTTTTATCTTGAACTTGAGGCTAATATGTGTAGCAATTCTTCATTGAGGAAACCGCTCGGTGGCGGTTTCCTCATTTTTTTTTTTTAATCTGTAGATGTTTCTTTACAGTGCCAAAGCTGTTATAAAAAATGTTTATTTCTTGCTACCTCCGCTCTATCATTTCAGGGAGTAATCTTTCAGCCAGGGTAAAGTGCTCCTCTTGTGTTTATTGAATTTCTATCCATTTCACAGAAGAGGGATTTTTCTCTTCGCTTGTATCAAACTTTAGAAGAAAGGTGATGAGGAAGATTTTTATTTCTCTTGGTGCTTATATCACAAAGCTGCTTAGTTTTATTACGAATTTGGGAACTCCCAATGCCAAGTTGCAAGAACGCACGTAATGCTTTTCCTTCAAATACGAAATCAATAGCATTAATTTATATTTGAGGCTGAGGCAACCGTGTCTGCAATTTGCCAAGAGAGAGAATTTTCTCATTAGTGGGAGATGGAATTTTTTTTTTTTAAATCAACTCTTCCTTACTGTTGTCTCCTGGGCCAAATATCTGTCTTCAGCCAAGACATTCTGTGGAGGGAAACTGGAAATAAACTGTACACTGTTTATCATACTGGGTTACAGGCTCCTAATTGGTGGTCGGGAACCATAAGGTGGGTGCAGATTTTATTGCAAACAGGAAATGTGTAAGTGGAGCTGGGCAGAACTTTTGGGGGGGCGATTAAAAAAATGTGGATGGGGGCACATGAGTCCTACCGATGACTAAGCCGGGTTTTCTTTTGTTTTGAATAGGTCGAATATATTCTACCGAGCCTGTATAGATATTCCCAGGGGTACCGAGCTTCTGGTGTGGTACAATGACAGCTATACGTCTTTCTTTGGGATCCCCTTACAATGCATTGCCCAGGATGAAAACTGTAAGAATTTCTTTTAGCTCTGACTTCACAAATACCTATTTCACAGCTAACTTTTTTAAGCGTGTTGTTGGAAACTCCTGAACTGCCATCCACCCTATTGGGGGACGCCCATGCGCACACATCTGTCCCGGCATTTTCTACTCCCTCTGTGTCTGTTGCTTTTTCACGGGGCTGCTTGCCTGTACAGGCCAATCCTTCTTTTCCTGTTTACAACTTCAAAACCTTTGCCATCGTTTGAAATAATCTCCGGCAGCCACATCGGGAGGCTGGTTTTTACTGAGCATCTATTATGTGTCTGATTCTCTGCTTGCCACCTTTTGGGGTCACCAGAGCAGTTGAGACTTCTGCTCTGAAGGGATGCACAGTTTTGCTGGAGTCATACTAGATGCAAAAAGAAAGTAAGAGGAAGCAATGCCTTTAATCAGGAGGGGTCCCGCCCATAGATTGATATGCATCCTCCTGAATAGTCCTTGGAGTGAAAAATGGAAGCAACACCCATAGACGTGATTGAGGAATTTGTGTCTGAGTTCTTAGTCCAAAATGAACCTTGTAATTTTCTTCTATATTCATTACCATGGCAATCCCTATCTTTAAAAAATAATCTATTAGGCAAATGCAAATTTACAGTGATTTTACTTCCACTTTATAATTTTATCAATTTTTTTGAAAAATAATACAAGGTGATTTCCAGTATTTAGAATGGAATTGGGTCATTATGATGAGCTTCAGTGAGAAACCCTGGTTTCAAGGTTGCTATTTTTTTCTGTCATTCGGTTGACTAGTCTGATGGTCTGATATTATTGCAACAGAAAAAGAAACAGGAGAATAGATCTTTTTAAGAAACTAAAACAAGTAGTATTTTATTTTTTCCTTGTCTCTTTCCTCCCCTCCCTACCCTCTGTCTCTCCCGTTCCACACATCTACACATCTACACATGAACTTCAGTAAAAAATATTTATATTACCCCGATAAAAATCTGATGATAAGATATTTCTTTTCCATATTGTCTTTATAGTTTCATAAAACACATAATCTTCAGAAAGCATATTACTATCAACTTTCCTTTTCTACTCTCCCTAGACCCAAACCAGTCTCAAATCAAAAAATGAATCCTTAGACATATAGTACATCCCTCTTACTCCCCAAATTTCTATTGCAAAGTTTCTTTTCTGCAATAATATTCCTCTTTGAGGGAGAGTCAGTATTCATGGGAGAAAATGTCAAGTTGGACATGAACGTGGGTAAGTGGTCAGAGGCAGATGGACATGGTGGCCAGGCTGCTGTGTCTCCCAGAATGGTTCCAGGCCCTACCGCATCTAAAAGTAGTTCAAGATGCATGTACTGAGAAGCACCCAGATCAGCCCCTCTCATCTGCTGACAGGAGCTTGTGTGTGCTTTAGAACCTTGACATAACCTTTGAGAGAATGGAATTCCATAAATCCTGTAAGCCCATCTGTTTCCTTCTTTAATATGACTTACTACAGATTCTGAAGATGCACTAGAGAACATATCAGAGCTTACCATTCTGAGGTGCGTAGTACAAAGTCCAAATATTCATGCAGTGATTGCTAAGATACTTACCAAAAACTGTGGGCTGGTACCTTTGCTTTGTGCTTTAAATACAGCCATGAACAAAACAGATAAGAAAGCCTGGCCTCATGGAGCTTACATTTTAGTGGGAAAAGATAGATTATCAGCAAATAAATGAGTAAATGAATGGGTGGTAATAAGGATAAGTGTAGGGACAAGATAGCAGAGAAGGGCTGAGGAGTGTCAGTAGTTGGATAAGTTTCAAACAGGTGAAGGAACAGGCCATGGGTACTTGGAAGATTGTTTCAGGCAGCTGGACTAAAAATATAAAGGCCCCAAATTGGAATATTCCCAGTGTGTTGAAAAAGTATCATAAAGGTTGCGGTAGGTGCTTTGGAAGGCATGAGTCGGGGAGAGATTAACTTAGATATTCAGAGGCATGGGGGAGTGGAGAGACAGTCATCTTATAAGGCATAGGAGGCTTTCGTTCTGTGTGGGCCCAGTGAGGTGGGTATTGCAGAGTTTTGAACAAAAGAGTGATATGATCTGATGGAGGCTGTAATAGGATTGCTCTGGCTGCTGAGTGGAGGCTATATAGTAAGGGGTGAATATCCAGCAGATGATGCAATTAGAGGCTCTTGCTAGCATCTTGGGGACAGAGGACAGTGGTTTGGACCTAGTGAAGGTCATGAGAAGTGGATGAATTCTGGATATGATTTGAAAGTGAAACCAACATCATTTCTTGACACATCGGATGCTGTGTGAGAGAGAAAGTAGTTGAGGAAACTCCAAGACTTTGATCTGAGAACCTGAAAGGATGGAATGACTCTTTACTGAGTTAGAAGTCAGAAATGGAAACCATGGAGTGACGAGAGAACACATTTCTGATGCATGATGTGGGGTGGAAGTAACATATCCTCAACACTGCTTCCACCTTATGTTGCTGTTACATGAACAAGAGGGATTTACAGGGTGGGTTACAGGACTTGGGCATCTTGTGTCCATTCATAGTCACCTCCCAACGGGAGTCTATGGCTGTTGCATCTGATCTTCAGACTCAGAGCCATAGCGCCATCAAAAAAGGTGCTTTCTAGAAATGACATATGCTTTCCAAAAGTCCTTTCTCCTAGAGCCCAAATTGTGTGAAGCATTCTTAGAGTTGTTGATTAGAGTTTTCCATATACTCTACTGGAAAGACTCTCAGCACCTGAAATCTTCAGGAGAAAATTTGCAAAGCCAGAGCAGCTTCAAATATTATGGGTACGGTAGGTTAACTAAACAGATCTTTTGGGTTGAGTTCAGAACTCTGAGTAAGGGTTGAGGGAAGTTTAAAGGGAATTAAGTCATTGAAATGCTCAGCATTGACGATCACCTAACCCCCTAAGGGTATTATAGGAATTTTATTTCAGTTCCTGTCTCAAAATCATATATCTGTCATGTGATTGGCCACCCAAGAACTCAGTGGAAGGTTTCATCAGATAGTGTGAGGGAGATATATGACTCTGATTCTAACTCTCAGATGGATTCTCATTCTATATGATTCACGGAGAGATCGGGAATGCTTTATAATGAGGTTGCTTATTCTGTACAGAGAAAATACTCTGTGTGATTTAAAGGCGCAAGTGTGTGAAAGGGCATGGACAGATAATTTAACAGATGCCTTCCACAGCCCTGAGTAATTTAAATCATCGCACCTGGATTAGCAATTCTAAGACAAGTTTTATCCTACTGAGCTGGCCTCAAAATAAATTAGGTGCCTTCAAAAGAAGCTTCACACGATCAAAGACTTATTTGACGAAATGCCTCCACAGAGCCTCCTTCTAGTGCTGTGCACACAGTAAACAATTAATAAATGCTCACTGGATATATAGTGGGGATTTTATGGTCATTATTTGGAAAGATTAATTATTTCAGTGAGACTTTTATAGTTAATGAAATTGATATGCAGACCTAAACCGTCAAAGAAAACACGATTTTACATCGTGAATAATAGTTATTTAGCACTTCCATGTATTAAAATAGTACTTCTTTCCATGGGTCTTTCAACAATAAAGTATCCAATTCCTATTGAATGTATGTGGAGGGTACAGGCTTGGGTTTCCACGCCCCTCTCCCCCGGCAGCTTCTGGGGAGCCGAGGGGTACACTCGTTTGGACAAGCAACTGAAAACCTCCTGGCCTCACAAAGAAGGCAGCATTTCGCATGGGCTTTTGGGTTCTGGAAGCAATTCCTGTGCTATTTTCTTTTGAGAAATCGTAGCTACAAGTGTAATAGAACTGCAGAGGGAGAGCCCCTCCGTCCACCGTGGGCTTCCGGGAGAGCCTGAAGGAAGGCCTGTGTCGACAGATCATATCCACACGGAGGAATGAGGTTCCCCAAAGCTTCCAGTGGGGGATTAGCTCCTGCCGAGTGTAAAGACTGGAGTGTGTTCATATTCCTTTCAGAGGAAATTAAAAAAAACCCTGGGAATAAATGTTAAACAAGTCTTCCTGCTGCTTTTTCTGTCTTGGCATATAAAGCTGAGGTAGCAGAATGTGAAACTTGATGGCCATGCGGGGGTCTCTGCTGTGGCGTCAGCGCTGCCTCCCCGAGGCCTGCTTCTTTCTTTTGAATTTAAAGAGCAGAAAATAAAAAGGGGTACTTCTGGGCCTCCCTGGTGGCGCAGCAGTTGAGCGCTGGGTTGTGAAGCTGCCTGCAGCCTCTGCGGCGCCGGTTCGATCCCCAGCTGCTCCCCGGCCACCGGAGGAGGGTCCCGCATGGCGCGCAGACCTCTCCTGCCGCCCGCTGCTCCCCTCAGCAGTGTACTTCAGTCCCTCTGCCTGCTCTGCTCCCCGCTCTGGCTCTGGTGAATTCTCTCACCGTCCCGCGCTTCTGACTGTACCCAGTGCATGTATAAACAAACAAACAAACAAATAAATAAATAAAACATGCCTCTATAAAAAATAAATAAAAATAAATTAAAAAAAAAAAATAAAAAGGGGTACTTCTGCAGAGTGCCCCTCGCTCCCACCACCCCACCAACAAGGTGAAGCTAGGTCTCAAAAAGGCTCTCTAAAGCCTCCTGTCCATGAACTTCGAGGAATCAAGGGTGTGTTTCAGTCCAACAGAACAACTGTGTGCCAGGCTCAGTGGGGACCCTGGATGGGTGGTGCAGACCCTCAGGCCCTATCCTCGAGGAACTCTGTAGAAGGAGGCAGGTTAGCACACAATTACAGTGCAAAGCACAGAGCAGGTGCCGTGTGAAGCAGCAATTGCGCTGAGCCAGAGAGTGGAGCTGAGTATTAAAGCACTTGGGAGGCGCTGTGTGTACAGTGGGAAGCAGGGATCTAACTCCTGACAAAAATCCAGAAACCAGAAGTTACTAGTTTGCCCCTGGAAAAGGACTAGAAAAATGCTATGCAGAAGTTACTAGGCTATGAATTGTGCATCTTGGGACATTTGTGAAAACACGCCGAAAGCCAGCCACAGCT